GGGTTGCTGCTGTTGTTGCTGATGTTGTTGTTGTTGTTGTTGTTGTTGCTTTTGTTGTTGTTGTTTTTGTTGTTGTTGTTGTTGTTGCTGTTGTATGAGTTGACGAAATTGTAGTTTTTATTTTAATTTTTCAAAATTTTAAAATGAAGTATCTCAGTCTATCTGCCGGAATCTTGTATATCTTCCTCTATTCGCATGGGCCCTGAAAGGCAGGGCCAAAACAGCACGCTTCCTAAAAGACACAACTTATGTCGAGGGGTTTTGTGCGCGTGTGTGTGTGTGTTGTGTGTGGGGGGGGTGTGTGTGTGTGTGTGTGTGTTGTGTGTGTGGGGGGGGGGGGGGAGGGGGCGTTTTACAGGTACACTTCATAAACCATTCTTTACAACATCATCTCCCGACTCTGTACGAATTTTCCTCACTTCACAAAGATGGGAATGGGCACCCGGCCATAGACACCGAAAGATCTTGTCAGTATGTTAGTGGTTTAGCGCCTATAGATGGATGCTTGCACTTTATGCTTCCCATTAAGCTGAGATTGTTTCAGAATGCTCTCAGGTCTGCTGGGGTAATAGTATATATTATGAAGCGCATAGAGCCTGCTGTTGAACGGGGATTTGCGCTATACAAATGCTATCTCTATTATTATTAAAACGCATAGAGCTTGCTGTTGAGCGGGGATTTGCGCTATACAAAATGCTGTCTATAATCATGATTATCAAAACAACCCAACTTCGTTTACAACCCTGGATTCGAACCCGTCCCTTCCGTATCTTACCTGTAGATCCTGACTCTCGTGCCTGTACTGCCTGCATCGAACATGACGCCATACTCGACGTGCTGTTGAGGCAGCGAGAGACCGCCGACCGACACCACGACCAACAGCGCTACAGCTAGGTACAGCATCCTGGGCTACTGCTGGGGGGAGTAGTGGAAGATAGTAGGGAAATGTTAGCTGTCAGCCTTGTGGGGAAATGCCATCGCAGAATGATGATGGTGATGGTGATGATGATGATGATGATGATATATTACTACTACTACTACTACTACTACTACTACTACTACTACTACTACTACTACTAATAATAATAATAATAATAATAATAATAATAGATATAATTATATTTTTTTATTATTATTTTGGGTGACCTTATTTAGGCCACATATGGCCTAAATAAGCTAAACCCCCTCCCTTACCTTATTTAGGCCACGCCTTTATACAAAGTGACAGAAATATTCCTTTTGTGCTTATTGAGGTACAGTGCAGGGTGATTTTACCTGCAAGGATAATTGGACAAAATGGGCAAAATCTTTATTGCTAATGGTCATATTTAGACAAATCCTATATCATTGTCTTTCTTTTTCTTAACTGCTCATGGTTATTAAAGAGTAAGCCAACTAGGTAGTAATTTCGTATTCCTAATATTAATATTATGGGCATTCTTAAAATTTTAAAACTTGTTTTTAGCGCTTTTCTCAACGTAAAACAGATTCCGTAAAAAAAAACAATGACCTTATCTTTCTTTTTCAAAGTATTGTGCATATATTTGTGTGAAACTATATATTCTATGCTTTCATGTACATGAAAAAAGCTAATAAAGGCAAGCAAAATGTTCTTCAGAGACATAGATCTAGTAGTAGGCCCACTTAATTTTTTTTATAAACCGGGAAAGATGACCAGAAAATAAAATTATTTTATGATCTTCACTTGCACTTGCAATTTTATGGATAGATTATAGTCTACCTCATTGTCTTTTTTTTCCATCATTTTTCTTCACTATTCATGACAACTGGCATGCATTATTTTCAGTTATTATCAAGAAAGTGGATAGGCGGACTACAGGGTCTATCTAGCCAAAAGGATAGGTGGATCCCGGGGTCTACCTAACTAAATGCTAGGATTTAGGATGTGAACCCCGGAGTCAGCGTAGTGAAATAAGTAGTAGATCTAGGTTTAACTAAGGATCGGTGGACCCCGCGGTCAACATAGTGAAATAAGTAGATCTCAGTTTATTTTATAGTAGGACTGGCGGAGCCCTTGGTCAACGTAGTGAAATTATAAGTAGATATAGGTTTAATTAAGGATTGGTGGACCCCGGGGTCAATGTAGTGAAATCAGTAGATCTAGGTTTAATTAAGGATTGGTGGACCCTGGGGTCAATGTAGTGAAATAAGTACATGTAGATCTAGGTTTAATTTTAAGGATTGGTGGACCCTGGAGTCAACGTAGTGAAATAGGTAGGTTTAAGGTGGACCCCAGGGTCTACCTAACGAAATGCTAGTTAGGTTTTTAGAATAGGTGGAACCTGCGGTCACCGTAGTAAAATAAGTAGGTTTAATCTAGGTGTCCCGGGGGTCCACCAATCCTTAATTAATTAAACCTTCTTATTCCTCTACGGCTATAATGACTCCGGGGTCCACCAATCCTTTTAAAATTAACCCTACTTATTTCACTACGCTGACCCCGGGGTCCACCAATCTTTAAAGAAACCTACTTATTTCACTACGGTGACCCCGGGGTCCACCTGTCCTAAAACCTAGTATTTCGCTAGGTAGACCCCGGGGTCCACCTTAAACCTGCTTATTTATCACTACGTTGACCCCGGGGTCCACCAATCCTTACTTAAACCAAATTTGTCTCGGGCCTATCTGAGGTCCCGACTCTTAATTAACTTCATAGTGTTGATTTCATTGAAAATTCATTTCTTAGATAACAGTGAAAACCCTCGTGGGACGCTCACTGTTAAAAACAATCAGGAAACAAATAAATGCAGTTTTTGGGACACCTGAATAGACATAAGGGTCTTGAGCATCTAGCTCTCACTCGCAAAATTGAAGGCAAACGAGGTAGGGGTAGGCCGAGAGTAGCCTACTTAGGGAACCTAAACAAATGGGTAACGGAAAGATCAGGGAAACGTAGCTTTTTTGAGAGTATCCGAGCAAAGGAATGAATGGAGAACCATGATCGCCGATGTCTGTCCCAGATCTGGCACTGAATGATGATGTGTTGATATGGGGGGTCAATTATATGTATACACTTTCTAAAAAATGCACTTTGGAGAAGAAAAACGAACCCCCACACTTAATGCATGTCACGGCAAATTATCTATCTGCTACATCCATACACTGTTAAATGGTCGCATTTAAGGACAAACGGGCTAACCCAGAATTCGGGGGTTTCCAGAAATCTTGACCTACACCAAAAGTGGAATTTGCCTTAACTATAGGAGCAGTTTGGTTTCATTGGTGTGTAGATCTGTTTGTTTGGGTATAGAAAAAATCTCATTGTCTTTTACAGAAACTGAACAAGGGGCAAAAGCTTTACCTTCGATTTTCTCAAAACAGCATTTTTTCTGGATACCCCAGTTGTGCTTAAAAGCAACCAATTATATCGATACATTTTTGGAAAAGGGAACCGAACCCCCACACTTAATGCATGTCTCGGCAAATCATCTATCTGCTACATCCATACACTTTTTTAATACCCCCGGGGCAGTGCCACCAACTGAAGTGTCTTTAGGCCATTTGCAAAGGGGGGATATTAATATATGTTCTTATGCACTATAGAACTGTAAATTGTAAATAGTCTGATTCATTAATGTCATACTCATTACTCTGCCTGAACTGCAATAGGAAACTGCTGCTTTTTTCTTTCCTAATTATCAGGAAACTACTTCTTTTTCTTTCCTAATTATTGTCATTTTCCTCTACTTCTTTGATATGTTTGTCACACTCTTGTGACCACGCTATTTCCGGGGTGCCTTGATAGTTTGAAGCAAACTTTGTGCTGTTGAAGCTTGAGAGGTGGCAGTGTAAGCCCGATTCCTGTAAGGACTTCTCCTCTCCGTTGACATCCACCCCTTGGCGCTCACATGACCTTCAGTTGCGAGCCCCGTAAAACCTCTAATTTAATTTTTTTAAACAGTTTGGAGAAGGGAACCGACCCCCCCCCC